TATTGTAAGAGTGTAAAAATACAATTGCAGAAAAGGAAATAAAAATTCTTTGAGATTCATAGCTTCTTCTCTAAACCTTTCTTCTTCTTTGTATAATTTGTGAGTTGTTCTTGATCTCTTCAATGTGTTAAGATGGTACCAAGAGTCAGGTTCAATTGCACGGTGCTCCCGATTCATGTTTTTCGCTGCTCCGATTACTGTTAAGGTGATATTTTTCTTGTAAATTTCTAATTAGTTGTTGAAGTTGGAATTTGTTTTGGGGATTTTGAAGGCTGATGCCATACAAGAATGTTGTTTGAAGAATTTGTTGATGAATTGCCTCAAGGTCGATGCCAAAGGTATTGATTGTTTGCTTGTAAATGTGATGTGGATCTGAAGGCCGATGCCGATTATGTTGATGAATTAGTTAATTCTTGAAGTTCTTGACTCTTTAAGGCCGATGCCATATCTGAGTTTCTTTCATTCTTGATAATTTCTGAAGAATATATCGATTGTAGTTAGCTTTTCTTGAATTTTGTCATCTGGGTTTTTCTTACCAACATAAGAATGTCAATATTGTGCATTTGTTTCTATTGCTGGGTATTGAAGATTGTTGTTGCTGATCATCATGTTAAATTATGTGAAGATTGAAAGCTTGTTGGGTATGCTTACTATTAAGCTTATTGATGATAATTTCATAAAGTGGAATTTCCAGTTTTCGTCTGTTTTACGTGGCTATGATTTATTTGATCATTTCGATGGTAGGTTGTTGTGTAGTAGCCTGATGCTCGATGACTTGATGTTGTGTGGTAGCTTGCTGCTCGGCAATATGCTGCTGAGTAGTGGCCTACCGTTTGGTGGTGGGTGGTTATTGCTCAGTTCCATAATCAAACATACAAACTTTATCTCCTTGAAAATCCCCCTGAAATGAGGACTCAAAGGAACCAAAATAAATCTCCGTTTCATGAAAAATGACATCGGTAATGATAAACATTTTCTTGGTTCGAAGGTGATAGCATCGATAACCTTTCTAAGTAGTAGCATACCCCATTAACACACATCGAAGTACTCGAGGTTCAAGTTTGTTTTGTCGTTATGAAGGGTGCACGTGGACGAAAGCCATGCAGCTAAGAACACGAGAGGAAAGGTTAGGGATTGGCGAGCAACTGAGCAGAGACATAAGAGTCCAAAACGATGTCTGAAACTCAAGAGTACTAGAGGGAAGCCGATTAATAAGGTAGGCAGCATACGTGAGGGCCTTACCCCAATAATATAAGGGAAGATGTGCCTCAAGAAGAGAAACACGAACCATTTCTAACAAGTGTCGATTCTTCTGTTCAGCCACCCAATTCTCGTAAGACTTAGTTTAGAGAAAATGGATCATAACCTCTTCTTGGGCGTTATAGAGCTTGGATATTAAATTTCCACTTCCGGGAGGTGAGTCATTGGAACCTATACGTCCATAATGTTTGATGCATGAGACATCAACATTCCTATATCTGCGGATTGTCCTTCTGGGACATGGATCCATGTGGCGACATCATGCAACAGTTATGCTTTGGGAATGCAATAGTTTAGTAGTGCCATATTCTTCTTCTTTCGAATGACTGAATCTTTTGAGTCTGAGGGTTTACCACGCTTTAGGAGTGCAACAGATAAATCATTTGTTGCCACATTATTTTGTCCAACAGAGACATCAATTCTTGCAAACACATTTGCAGCTAATATATGTGATTTTATCATTTTCCGTTGCATCATTAAATGCATCTGGCATTTGATTGGCAATACTTTGAAGATGAACAATTATTCTCACTTCATTTTCACATTGATTGCTGCGTGAATCAAAATAAGACAAAGTGGGTACATCCCACAACAATTCTCGTCGTTCTTTTGGAACGGCCTTTTCTCCCCCTAACGGCGGGAAAACTGTCTATTCAAAATGACAGTCCGCAAACCGTGCGGTAAACTTATCCCCAGTCAAGGATTTCAAATATTGAATGATATATGGTAAATCAAATCCAACATAAATTTCCAGTTTGCGTTGATGCCTCATTTTAGTACGTTGTGGCAATGCAATAGGTACATAGATAACACAACTAAAAACTCGTAAATGTGTAATGTTTGTCAGGTAAACATAAATTGTACTGAGAAGTATTGATGGTTGGCACCAGGTCTCAACCAAACTAATAATGCATCATGTAAAATGGCATCTCCCCATGTAGAAACTGACAATTTCTTTTTCATGAGCAAAGTGCATTAATCAATTTCATCCGCTTAATAAATGCTTCTGCTAAACATTTTTGAGTATGGACATGAGGAACATGATGTTCAACATCAATGCCCAGTGACATGCAATAGTCATAAAAAATTTGAAATGTAAACACTCATGGATTATATTATCATTTACATGAATCAAGGAACTTCTAGTCCTTATTTAATAGTTTGTGGACTGAGACTTTTATGGCTTTATTACAATTAAGTTGTGGCACTGCGACACTTCAAACTTATGGTACTCATCAAGGAACTTCATGTCTGATCTTGAGGTCAGGGAACTTCATGTCCAATCTTTTTGTACGATGATGATCAAGGAAATTCAGGTCCGTTCTTTTTACATGGTGGAACTTCGGGTCCAATCATTTTATATGATGAGGATCAAAAAACTGCAGGTTCTGATCTGATCAAGGAATTTCGGGTCCTGTATATACTTATCATAACAAAAAGAAGTACAATAAATAAACTAAAGTAATATGCGGTAATTCCAGCCATGGTAAATAAATTTCTTTTAAGTAAATAAAACTTGTGACAAAGACTTTAATTCAACACCATTCACATAAATAAATCAAAACTTAAAGCAAAGGGCGATAATTCCACTTACTGTAAATAAATTACTTTTAAGTATATGAAACTTTTGAAAGGGCTTTAAACCATCACCATTCACATAAAACAAAAGTATTAGACCCTTTTAAAAAAGAAATGGACCGACGAGTCCATTTTGAATATCATCATTTTCTTTTTTCTTCTTTTCACATGGTGCCGATGCACCATGTGAAAAGAAGAAAAAAAAAAGGTTTTGAAATGGTGCGTTGGCACCATGTGAAAAGAGGAAAAAAAAATGATGATATTCAAAATGGACCCACCAGTGCACTTCTTTATTAAGGGGTCTGATATTTTTGTTTTATGTGAATGTTGTTGGTTTAAAGTCTTTTCTTTTGTTTCATTCCTTTTATTTTATTTTTACAACTCTTTAAGTCTTTTTAGTTACTCAAGAAGTGATAGTAATAATAAGTCTCAATTTGTGTTCCTCCTCCAGTGAGTTTCGAAAAAGTCGAAACGGTTTCCATAAGTTTTGGAGTCAAGAGTAGTGTCTGCAACTTATGAGAAGATCAAACCGTTAGATTTAGCGCAAATTGTAGTATGATATGGATAAGAGGATACCAAACAACTTTCGTGAAGAAACAGTTTTGATCTGAGCTACTAAAAATGGAGTTTCGGTACTCATAAGATGGATGTCCAGTTTTTTGCTGAATTGAAAACTGGGTTGGTGTTTCAGACATCTGCAACGATCGCACCGTTAGAATTTTCTGAAAATTTGATATGTTATAGGTACTGAGCAGATGAACAACTTTCAAGAAGAAAGTATTTCAATCTGAGGTCAGCAAGTTGGAGTTCAGAGGCTGTTTACATAGCTGTCAGATTTTCTACGGATTTTGAGTTTGTACCCTTTTGCTTCTGCAAAGGATGACATACAGTCATACAATAAGATATATAGTTGCTTCAAGAAAATCAGTAGTACAGAGATTTGAAGATGAAATGAAAAGATTTTCTTATCTGTGAGATTTCAGCTGACAGAGGTGAGAGGTAGGTAGTGCTTCACCGGATTTGTGGCGTTGTGCTTTCCATTGACACGAGAACTTCTCGTGCTGATAACGTGTTGTAAAATCGACAGTATGTGTGCAGTAGAATAAAAGTAAATAAGACACAATATTTACGAGGTTCCTCTACAGTCAGTGTGACTGGAGTACGTTCTCGGGGCAGCAGTGATGCTTTTATTTATAATCTAGAATAATAGGAATACAAAAATAACTCTTTATACTCTCATCTCTTCTTCCTCTCTTTTCTTTCCCCTTCCTCTTTCTTTCTTCCGTTTGTTTTGTGTGTGTGCTCTCCTCCTTCTCATTCACTTTATCGGCAAAGAAATCACTATTTATATGGGTCATCCATGTATTATTTATAACAGATAGGACATAATTGAGGAGAGCCCGTGAACGAAATTTTAATTATTTTTTAATAAATTTCTTCCAACTAATCTTCCAACGAAACTCTCACTTACTTTACTTTTATATATGAATGGGGAAGCAGCATGTGATCAGTAAGACAGTAACTAGATGCTGTTATTGTTGGTGGTGTTGGAAGTGGAAATCCCGTTCACCTTCCATTGTCTCACTAGGGCTATAGGCCGCTACGAGTTGATATGGGAAAAGAGCTTGGGTGGACAACATCACGATAACGTTATTCGTAAGACAATTCTCACAATATAAAATTCAATGTATTCTACGTTTTAATGGAGAGAACCTTTGATAGAGATGTCATGCGATCCGGAGTATAAGACAAGCTAATAAAACGTTGCCACAGTGATATTTATGAAGCCAAACCAACTGAACATCGTTAGGGTTTGTGCATGTTTGTGAGGGGGAAATGGAAACCATTGCCCCATTGAGATTTTTCTGCAACCAGATTCCATGCATGCTCGCTCTATGTGAGAGCTAACCTAATAAAGCAGTCATGCCGAAGTCTCTCTTTTGATATAGGTGCCCATATCAGATAGTTGAGTCTATAGACTTCAATCATAAAAGTCATTAGGCACCCATCACTCACCCATTCAGTGTTTATCCTTAAGCTCTATTTACTTGTAAGTAAGAAGTCGTAGGTTTGATTCTTGCCAGAGGCAAATTTAAACCACATTATTGCTAGCCTATTGTGAGACTAAACACATCCCTTCTCCGTTAGTGTAGATAATATCATTTGTGAAAAAAAAAGTCTCTTCGACTTCTCAAAGTCTCAAATTCAGATTGAACAAATTTGCATACGGGGCTACTAGTGGGGGACCCACAAAAATTTCACGTACAAGTTGACTGACTTTTCTTGTTGGCACTGTTTCTACTGGGAGATGCTCCAATTAATAAGAAGATACAAAGGAAGATGTAAAAGTAGGGCAGATGACAACAATGCTTGCTTGGTTCCCAGGATTTAGGTTACAAGAGTTGGATGCTGTCTTTCTTCTTGGAGTACTCGTCTTTCATCCCGGATCAAAATCTAATATGTTTCTTTCCGTTCCTCGCAAGCCACTTAGTTCTCCGAAACAAGAGATAAAAAAGATTGTCCTCGTTTTTTCAAGTGAGTCGCCAGTGTTACACCGTTGGGATACTTTGAGGAAACTAGAGTATGTATAGGATATACCGGTGCTAAAACCTTTTTTCAGCTAATTTCATGTCGTTCAACCTGTCAGATAATCCTGCTCTTCGATAGCCGGCAACCAACAGATCATAAGTTGATGTCGTAAGTTCATAAGAACCCTCAATACGTTCCAAAAACAACTCCAGCCTGTCATGAGCCGAGCACCTGAAGTACGAACAGATTACCTTTTCGACATCATCCTGATGTTTAAATGACAATCCTTGCTTCAACATCCTCCCAACAGAGTACTCTACATCATCCAATCTATCCAATGCGGCATTCAACCGTATAATTCCACAGTGGACCAGCAACAGAACTTCCGAAACTTGATTGGCCTCCGTAAGAATTACAAGCAACTCCTCCAATTTCTCCACCATCTTAAGTTCAATGTACAATCCCACAACCATCTCAGCCATCTTCTCGTTGATCTTCAATCCGGCATCTAACACTATCTTCAAAAAGTCTATTACTAAATCAAAGTTTCTCCGTTTACAAATCCCTTCCACCATACTTTCCAATACGGGCAAGCTTGGCATGTGCCCTGATAACACCATTTCTTCATAGAACCCATCACCCAACTCAAAATTGTTTGATTTAATGCAACCCGAAATCAGATATTCATAGGTTTGAACACCAGAAGTGAATCCGGCAGCCTTCTTGGCCGAGTACCAAGCTTGCAAAGAATCAGCATTGCCCAACTTTGAGAATGCAAACATGAATGCATCATATGTGTCGGAATCGGGTTTAAATCCCTCCGAGCTCTTCATTATCTCAAATAGGCTTAAAGCTGTCAACACATTACCGGAAGAGAAGCAAACATGTATAAGGGAGTTGAAAACGGCAGAAGTGGGTTTGATTCCATTAGCCTCCATAGAAGAAAACACTTGCATTGCAAGTGGGAGATTGTGAATTTTTCCACACAGAGATATCAGCTCGGAGTAACGATCATGATCTCTCTCGTTCGCCCCGAGCAACTTCTCCAGTTTCCACTCCAAAACCTGACTAATCAAACAATGCGCAGACATATATAAGTAGAAGTTGTTTTCAATCTTCTTGCCAACCAAGAAAAATGCAAATTATCCAATTAGACTAATCAATCACAGTGCCTGTTTGAAAGTGCTTTTACTAAAGCCCTCTTAGATAACCAAAATCGTTTATGGCAATGTTTGTCACAGATTTTTTTTGCTACTTATGGATTGTAAAATATTAGAAATTGTTTCCACTCCACGTGCTTCCAATAAAAGCACTTCCGGTAAAAGCGCGTATGAACATAAAACCTTTCGTTTCCAAACGAATGCTACTTTCTTATGGGCATTCCGTAAAAGCCCAATCGAGTTGAGTTCTGGACTCATTTCCCCACTTAAACAACATAAACCATTTCATTTTCTATTGATTTTCTCAGCAACCAAACACCGGGTGAGAAAATACAAACACTTGTCAAGAATCTAACTTTGAGCTACAACTATCGTAGTTAAGGAGCGGTAACATTACCAATCGGGATTTCCCGGGAGAGGAAGAAGAAGCGAGAGAACTGACGAGGGATTCCCAGGAAAAATCCGAGCTTTGGAGGGCGGAGAATTCATCGGAAGAGAGTAAGGATTTGATGCGTGAATTGGGTTCCTCCACCAACCTCCCAAGAAGAAAGCTTGTTTGGTTGCTCAGCCAACGCCGAGAGTGAGGGCTACTCGCCGAAGCCTTGTGCTTTAAACCCCTTCTCGCAGCCGATAAAACTCGGCAGACCAACGCCATGGCTCTGTTAGTTCCTCTACTCTACTGGAAAGTCGGAAGAAAACCAACTCAGATAAGCACCGGAGGTGCAGGCCCAAGCCCAAGTACAACCCAGGCCCAAGCCCAAGTCCGACACTGGCCCAAGCCAAATCTTTCACCTACCGATGACAATGTGGGGCAGCGGAGCGGGGTAAGGGAAACGATTTTTGCACATTTGTTTTCACTTTTTAAGATAGGGAAGTGTTATTAGCACTCTAAAAATCTTATTACAATCCTCATATGTGTATTTTTCTTTCTAAATATAGAAAGTTTGGAGTGTAGAATGAGATATTTGAAATGCTAATAACAATTCTCTTAAGATAACCTTGTATGTTTTTGTTTCCAAATTAAACAAATTAGCTGATAAAAAGCTATATGATAGCACCCAAATTTTTTCGATTTGGCAGTTCAACACAACAGAAAAGGCAAAAGACTAAGGTAGACGAAGTTTCTCCAAAATAAAGAGCTTGTCAACTCTATGGTCCTTCCCAATCCCTTTGAGGGCTTTTCGCTTTTAAGACAACCTTGTTTGCTTTTTGTTCCGAATTGGACAAACCATAGGAGAATCAATGAACAAGAATATACAAGAGCGTACAGAAGTCGTTTTCCATGCCATTAACGTTCTCACCCTGAATAAACGAGAACCCCAACTAGTAAAACATCATGATGTAGTGCAAGGTGCAAGGACACCGGCTATCTACATGCGTGCGAGTCAAACGAGGTTGTAAGGAAGCTGACCAACGAGATCCCTTGGAAGGGGTTGGTTGATAAGTGGGAATTGGACATGGACATGGCTCACTCTCCTGAGGAAACTGAAATCCAATTCCAAAAGTATCTGTACATTACAATGTAAAACTTTATTCTGACTGCTTAAAAAAACGTAGCACATACACGAATTAATTTTACACGTCATGGTACTCTCCAAACTTCACCAGAAATTTGGGGGTGGTGGTTTGGGGGATACAACAGAAATATCGGTTCCGGTTTTACAATAAAAGAGGAAAATTTAACATTACGAAAAGAAAAATCCACTCACCCCATATGGAATCTCATGTAGATTGATCTGCATCTACAAAATCACACTTTCGCACTTTTCCCTTTGTTTTCGGAGGAAACTAATCGAAGGGACTCACTTGTGCTCTATTTTCTGCTGATGTGAACTAAAATGATCATGGCATGCCGAATTTGGACAAGGCAGACTGGAACACGGATGAAAAGGGTTGAGTTGCATTTTGATCATCGGCTTTAATCTTTATTTGAGCTTTGGCGGATGATGTGTTGACTATACACTATCAAAAATGTAGAAGATTCTTCTGCCTTTTGTGCGAAGAAGAAAAACTTGAAGTTGGGGGATTGACCACCGGATGCAATGCAGTGGATGGATTGGCCTTGCATATGCCGTTGGAGAGCTTGAGGCGTTGTCAATGCTGCAACTCCTTGAGGATTAATAGAATACTCCTGCATCAAATGATAGATGACACTTGTGAAAAAAAATATATATATAAAAATTGTACAGAAATATAAATCCAGGTATCCAGGTATAAACATTATGCAGGCCGAATATGGATTCCAAGGTGTACCTGTGATAAAGATATCGGCAGTTGGCGCCACTTCTGCTGAAAAGTTGTTGGATCTAAGACAGCTTTTGGATTAAGCTTCAATGGAGGAGGTGAAGGTGCAGGTGCAGGTGCAGTAGGTAGTCCCAAGCCAAGGAGATCATCAATTGCAAAGCTAGACTGCGGAACATTTCCAGACACGCTAGGGTTTGAAATTGCCAACTCCGACAGTTGAGAAGTGGGAACAGACAAAGACGAAGCATCGTATGAAGGAGCACTATATGCATAAGAACTATTATTGAGACCTCTTGTCTCCTCCTTCTCTGAAGTACTTAATAGCAGATCTTTATCATTAGCTTCGACTCTATGAGGAACAACAGTATCTGTAGATTCTGTCCCAATTGATACATTTCCAATTTCATCTGAAAACTCAAACGGTCCTCTGTGTTCCTTATAAGTAAACATGTAGGATGGCTGCAAGCATTTCAAAATATCAGTCTTTGTGAGGCCTCTCTTCAACAAAGCTCTCAATATATTGTAAACAAGCGAAAACACGGCAATCAATAAAGATAAGTACATATGGTTTACAGTTATATTCAGTAGTCACATATACATTGTGTGTGCCTTTTGTTCGTCTATCCTGACACCCAGGAAGGGGACTGGGAGTGTTGTTTTCTTTTAATATGTAATCATTTACATGGGAGGGGAATTGTTATTACCTTTTGATATACCACAGACAAACTGTTAAATTCGTCGAATATCCGATCTTTGATTTCACTGCTCTGGGTATCAGCAAAGACAGAAACAGCTTGCTTTGGAGGGTTCACCACTCGTTCTGCTACACTTATGTTATATTGCAAAAGCCTGTAGTAGAATAAGGCTCGATCATGAACATCCTGCAACCAACTGATAGTTTATTGAACATTCCTAAAGAAAATATGACAAAATTTTCACCAATAGAAAATAATTGTAGAAGTAGAAGACTTTAAAGTTAATCATACAAAATAACAACAAACACACAAGAACAGGCACCTGATGAAAATCAGCAAGACCTGCAGCCAGTGCAGCTCCCAAGGATTTTTGAGTCTCAGGCGGCCTCTTAAAAAAACACTTCATTACTGCTGTGAGTAGATGTAAACGAACCTGTGCAATGAAACTGTTCCATCACTCAATGGTATATAAGTAATTAATAGCACAACAAGAGGTTTAATTCATGAATTTGTACCATTAGAGGTTCAAAAGTATATCTATAGCTGTAAAATGCAAGAAAGAAGACCACAAGATCCTAAACAATCCCCACATTTTATACATTTAAATACAGAAATCGTAGACCCCAGTTTTGCTATTAAATTCCAAGCACTAGGATTTGAACCCACATTGGGCAATCAATTGAGACAGCAACACAATACTTTTTCTTTTCATAAATAAAATCCAAGGATATTCTGAGTAATTTAGAACCATCAAGAGGCTAAACAGGATACGGATCATCATCAAAACCAACTAATATACACTTCACCAAAACAAAATAACTTCATATCTTCTGTTTGCCACACAAAGTGAAGACATTGACATATAAACTGTGGCTCATTAAAATTCCAGCATATGTTTAGACGGAACAGAAAATGGAAACTTAGTAAATTACCTCAGCGGAATGCTCATCTTCCCAATTTTCAATCAAACCCTCTAAAATATAAGGTGCATCATGCATTTCGTGAGAATACTCCCCCAGCATCCATATAAGAGCTGCCTTGGCCTTGGGTTCTTGAACATTTTTGCTGCTGATGTTCCCAACAACCGCAATACAATCCTGACTCCATTGTGGATATTTCCTCAGCAGATCTTTTACAAGAACCTGTATAAAAGAACTCCAAACTTGAGTCATTCTGGCTAGTTATCGAGTATATAAAAGTAACATGATCATTACTTTGCTTTATTTTCTATTTTCCTTCACTTTCTTTAACTGACCTATACAACCTCTAAGCCATTTAACATGTCATTCACAGGAATGAACCACAGTAAACTGGTTGCTCAGAATTACCATTATAAGTATCTAACAGAAATCAAACATGATGATTTACCAGAGCTTCAGCAGTTACATAGTCCTTTTCCATCTCCAGAAATTGAAGAAGTCGGTCAACTATTGCATTCACGTCATACTGTTGTAGAGCTATTTTCCCAACTGCACGAATCGACTCTCTTGCAATGGGAATATCAACATTTGCAGCATATTCACATAATTCCGTCACTGAAATGGAATCAAGATCATGCATCAGTCAAACTTGAAAGCTAACCAAAAAAACAGCACCCGTGACCAAACCAAAGAAAGGATCACCTTAAGAACACACTTTTACCATGTCACAGACAGACAAATACACATATACACATACACTCAACCTATTGCTCAAGAATCTGTAATGAATTTCAGATGGTGTTTTCTTACCAATTTCATAAGTGTTACTCTCATTTGCCACCGCAGTCAACATCTCAAGCTTCAACTTTTTAACATAAGATGGCTCATTGTACTGGCAATAAAAGTGTTTATAGTCTGAAGAAAATATGAAAGGTGCACGCATCACCAAAAGATGCAGATGGCTTAGAACCGCATAAGATTGCTCTGGACTTCCTGAACTCACTAAGGTCAGGAGAGGAGCTTTAATGCGTTCATATACCTAACCAATAAAAAGAGGGAAAATAAGCTTAAATTAGAGGAGTTAATCTTATAAAATCGCACGAATGGTACACGATGGTGCAACATGGATCATAGGCATAAAAGTCAAAATCATCAGATCCTCAAATGTTATTTCTTTTCCATGCTAGCATCACTTTTGATACTATATAAATTATTTTCCAACTAACAAAAAAAGGGATGACTAGCAGCCGAAAGTTCTTCTATATTGCTATATATATAGTAGCTCCTATATGATTATGCAACTACGAGAGGTTACCTTTTCTAACATTAAAACAGCTATATTTCTTCCTACTTTTTGAGTTGCAAAAATAAAAGTTTAAATGAAATTATCTTTATGTTTACCTGCTGATGAACATCAGTCATTGACAGAGTCAATTGAAGAAATACTTTAGTGGTTGCCAAGACAACAGCACCATTTGCATGCTGAAGTCTATCCTCGAGCAGATTCATGACATCAAATATCTCATTGGGATCTGCAGGTACATACTTAGCTACCAGCTCAAGCACCAGACACTGTGCCCATTCACTAAACTCCCTAATCCTGCATAAGAGAACATGTACCAAACTCAACTGCTGTTTTTTTCATTATTAGTTAAGTTAAATGGAATTATTGATATTAAATCATTTTGAACAATTAAAAATTGGCCCCGGGTGAGAAAGTTGTCATATTACTTTGGCTTTCTACTTATGCGCTACGTGGAGGAATCACCATTAGATATTATATTCACTATACCAGCATGATGCAGAACCCATATGGAAAAGAGAAGAGAGAGAGGGAGAGAGATAAACTACCGGTTCAAAAGATAGTATATAACTGGCTTGCTAAGCAAAATTTCTCTTTCCCTGGATACTTCTTCAGACGCAC